AATTTAGGAGCTGAGCTAGACATAAAGTTATAAGAAAATAGTACGTTTATTTTATAATTATGTAGATAATAGTATTTCAGGGTTCAGTGTGATGTAAAAATGTGAATTCTTATTTTCGTAAACGAAGACAATAAATAAAAAAACGCCTCTGATGTTAATTTTTTTTATATCTTAGGTGTAAATAGTAAACCAATTTTTAGCTTGTTTTTTTATATAATACGTCGGCATACGAGCAGACGGATTACCTGATGGTAAGCAATCAGCGCCGCCCATGGACACTCGCAAAGGAGGCAAAGGACGGCACGAGTGCGTTGCCGACCATTTATTAAGGATTAGGGATTTCGAGATTTAGGGATTGAGGAGGGATTGGAGGAGGGGAAGGATTGGGCTTCCGGTAACACTCACACGGCGAAACACAACGCTGTGGTTATTTCACGCCGGTTTTCTGTGAGGCCGTGGTATCACTCCGGTCGAGCCGACCCATTCGTGCCGAAGCATGGCTCTCCCACACTTAGAATTTATTGTTGTTAGTATATTTTAGTTTCTTGTTTCTATGTGTGGTGTTAGAAAACTTATGGGAACTCAAAATGATATACCGTTCACAAAACACCTAAATAGGCACCTAAGCCTTCACATTTTAACCACGTAGCGGTACAAAGCTTTAATCCTAACGGATTTACGTTAGTGTTGCCCAATCATGTCTCATTTAAGTGTTGCAAGGTGAAAAAAAACAAAAAAAGTACATAATTGCTTTATATCGACTGATCGGCCGGCTACACAGGTAATGATGGGTTGAAGTAAGGCTTAGCACACACAGTGGAGAGGTAATATTTTTTTATTATAATGATTTTTCTTTTTAGTTTAAAATATCTCAATTTTGTAGTAGATACAAAATATTAAGTCAAGGTAGTATGTGACTACGAAGGTAAGTATTAAAAATAATTTAACAAAAATTGCATTCGGAAAAAATACCTGTATATTTAAATTAACGTAAAAAACCATACCAGCAAAAGCCTTTTAGAACTTCAATAGAAATATTGTAATCACAGCTTACTTATTGTTCAAATGGTCAAAATATTTACTTATATAATTAAACTCTTGACCAAAAAAGTTGCCTTACTTCAGTGGTAAGAAAATGACCTTGAAATTTGTTATCTTTTATTATTTAGAAGGCAAATTAGCAGATTTATTGGCAACACCGGAGGAGTCACATGCGTGTTGCCGGCCTATAGTATTACGAAGGAGGACGCTCCTTTCTTGAAGGTTTGAAAGTCGTATCGGTTCGAAAATATCGCCGCCAAAAGATCATTGCAAAGTTTTATTTTGTGACGCAGAAAGTTTAGAGTAACTCGCAGAGCTATTGAATGCCAACCATCAACCACGTTTATTAAATAATACAGACCATTGTTATCATATATGAAGCTATTATATTTTGTATTCCTTGTTTTTCAAAAATGATCTTCCCGATCTTGTATACCATTGCTTACTTTAACCAGTTCAAGAGTACTCATTCGTTTTATACTATAATTTACGCTGCGCTCCTCAATCTTATTAGATTCTGATGAGATACATACAAATAGGTACGTAATAATATATAGTCCTAACTTGTTTTTTTTTTCTCTGTAAGTAATGTTTAATTTTAGACTATGTAGGTTTTATGTTCTAGTTCTAGATTTTATTGCCTGATTTTTTCGGTTCACACAATATACTATTCGGTTCACCTAAAGTTGGCCCACCGTGTTTAAATTAGGTTTTTTTTTTTGTGATGGGTAAATCAACAAATGACTTCTCCCGCCCAGTGCCGGGTGGGAGGGAGTGTCAGACTCTTACTGACTAAAAATCGCCCTGTTTCTTCTCCTGCTCTGGGCCGAGGTCGCGGTGCCTCATTGCGCTTACCTCGCAATCCCGGCTGAACATCAGCCCTATAGGGCCACGTCTGTGGTGGTCTATTGGATCTTTTAGGCGCGCGTGGAACGATACGCGGCGTAGTTTAAATTAGGAATGGACTGCAGCGTTTGTACTAAGCGTGAGTTTCATGATATTATATTTTTATAGGATGATTATTTAATCCTGTAAAAAAATTGTTAATGCTAAGCTGCGAAGAAGACGTGCAGATGAAGGACCTCACATCAACAGCCTTTGAGTGCATACTACTGAGCAAAGGCCTTTTCGCACACGGAGAAGATCCATCAACGATTGCATCACTGCTTACCATCAGGTGGGATCGCAGTCAAGCACTAGTTTATTGCAAGTAAAAAAAAAGAAGGTTTGAGCATTAATCACCACGCTTTTTTTTTGTGTGACAGTTCGGCAAACGAGCAGACGGATTACCTGATGGTAAGCAATCCGTGCCGCCCATGGACACCCACATAGCTGATTAAATAATCGTATAATGTACATACATATATAACTCGGAAAAAGTCACATTGGTACTTGACAGGCTTTGAAATCACCCCCTCATGCATGAGAAGCAGGCACCTTAACTTCTAGCCTACCACGGACGGACATATAAAGGATACAATATTATTCTTTAAGTACCCGTATCCAACTTATCTCAAGTAACATGCAGCCTCCCATCAATTTACGTCAAGCCAGCGATTAAATAACACATACAAGTCTTATTTACTTAAACGGTACATTTGAAACAGAGGAAATTGTAGCAGTATACATACTTATACTGGGACATCAAATTATACATAGTTGTCGAACACATTTTCAACTTTAAGAGTTTAAGATTATGGACGAAATTCGTTTGTTTTTGGTCTGAGATGTGATAACTGGCACTTAAGCCTAGTTTACCTCTCTTACAATGTGTTTATAATGTCTATCTGGGTGGACTTGTAGTAGTATGATTAAACATAGGAGCAAGTTCGATCCCAGAATGAATTAAAGTTTTTTTATATGGGATAGACGGATTAGCTGCGGGCACCGACTAAGAACAACAACACTAAAGGAGTTACGAGTGCGTTGTCGGCCTTTTGGGGATAAGGGTTTCTGATATTTAAGGACTGGGAAGGGATGGGGGAGGGGGAGGGATTGAGCTTCCGGTAATCTCACTCTTAAAAACGTAACGCTGTGGTTATTTCACGCCCGTTTTTAGAGGTTAAGGTTGTCCGCTTCTCATGCATGAGGGTAAGGGATCGAAACCGTGCAAGTATCGTTAATTTTTCCGAGTTATGTGTTCTTTCTAAGATGCAGTAAAGGAAAATATCGAGAGGCCTAAAATTTCTAATTATAAATATGAAATCGCTATTCAGTATTGAGGAAGTATAGTGATTATTGCTGAAAACTTATCTGTGCGCGAATAAGCTTTTGCTCATTAGTAGGAACTTTCAGACTGGTGATGTGATGATTTGTAATATATGGGAAATATATATAGAAATAAATATATCCTAGTCATTTTAATATGACAACTTACTCTGGCCAAGACCATTTTACGCTGGTTTTGTATAGCATAACGTGTCTTCAAGGGGTAAAAGACGTGATAATACTAACGCTCCAAGACATAATAACTAGCACTTGAGACGTTTAACAACTTTAACGTTTTTATATGTGCGGGTATGTAGGGGTATGTAGCGCACGGCGTACAAGCTTTGTAATTTATATGATTTTGTAGTAAGTGAAGAATGGAGGCGTGTGTGTATTATTAGAAGCATGTATGTAGACTTCTTGTAACAAGCTTTCATTAAACTTGAAATGCAAATAAGTAGAATCTTGTAGAAAAGGAACGAAGTGTGGGTTAGCCAAGCTTCAGCACGAATGTATCGGCTTGGCCGGAGTGATACCACGGCCTCACAGAAAACCGGCGTGAAACAACCACAGCGTTGTGTTTCGCCGTGTCAGTGAAGTTACCGGAGGCCCAATTCTTTCCCTTCTCCACCTCTCTAACGGCAACGCTATCGTTACTCCTTTAGTGTTGCGGGTGTTCATGGGTAGCGCTCACTGCTTACCATCAGGTAATCCCCTACTCGTTTGCCAAACTATTTAATAAAAAAATGACCATGACATTGAAGGCTCGACTGGTAGAAAATGTCAAAGGCATTAAGTCCACCTATGTACTCAGTGCATGAAGTTTGAATAAATAAATAAATGACATGCTAGACTGTACCTTAAAAGTGTATCAAAAGTTTATCGATAAAACCGATAAGAGATTACAGCTTAGATGATATTCACTCATCCACAAAATAGTCCATATGACATCTTAATCAGTGTGATCGACCAGATACAGAGGCAGCTTAAAATGAACAATTTACCATCAGGTGAACTATAATAAGCTTTGCTGCTAGTTTAAGTAACTAGTTTTTTTTAAATAAATGTGCTTGTTAAAGTACTGAATATTTTTTTACATCACCCTTTTGCATATTTATTATTAGCTTAGATTAATGGATTAGAAAAACTGTTTTGTCATTTTATACATATTCATTTATGCACGCAAACAATTTATTCAACATTGAACCCTTAAATATATAAAATAAAGATAAATCAACTACAATTTAGAAATTGTATTCAAAGAAAAATAAAACACAATACATTTTCTTTAGAAAATTACCCAAATAATACACGTAAAAACCATTACCACTGTAACTTGACCCTCCAAAAAAGGCATAAAGCCTAATATATTGCCGCTTTGCTTTACGCATCAATAGTTCAATACGATAATTTTACTAAAAACACGTTAATTCAACTGTGACGGAGCTGATAGGGTGCCTAGCGACGCAAGTTGAGTCGATAAAGCTCAACACACAACGCAAAACAGTGTCGAGGTAGCTCAATGAATTTGACATGAATTTCCAAAGGGTTTTTGTCAATTTTAAATATATGAGTGACTAGTTATTTGAAGATCTTTAAAGAAAAGTGTTCATCGTGAGTGAAATAGATAAAATGAGAATAATACCTTAGTAACAACTCAATAGGCCAGAAAGATAATACAACAATCAATCTAATACTAGAGAAGGCAAAGTTCAAAATTGGATGAAGAGAATAAACAGAAAACAGAAAAGATGTCTAATAAAACGTATAACGATTTGTTGGTTGAGACTTCAGAGCTGATAGGAGAAGCAACTCAAGCGGATGAAGCGCTTTTTGAAGCGGGAGCAGCTGATAGAAATACACTACTACCGATTCTTCTAGAACTTCGAGTGAGGTACACGATGCTGCTCAGTCGGTTGGATGCGGTGTACGACCAGCTCTTGCAGCCACAAAAGCGCATGATTGTCAAAAGACTTCTAGAGTCTTGCTTAGGAAGACTCATAGAGATAAAACATGATCTGGTGGAGATGCGCTTGACTGATCATACTTTTGATGATGATGAGGTATTTTTTTGTTACTATTTTATCAATAAAAAAATTAATTTAATGATTATGAATTTCATACATATGCAGACTAGCAGTTTTTTGCTGATACGTAGGTTTGTTTTTGAACTTAACGCTTGAGTTCAATAGTCCAACTGTTGCATTTTTGTTCGATGAAATTATCCTCGTAACGAAATTCATTTGTTTACTGTATGTAAATCTTTTCTAGTCTTATCATAACAAAATATGCAAAGTTGCACCTGGTATATAAAATAAATAAAAGTTGTATAAATATTACTTTCAGGCATTAATCAAACTCCAAGTGACTCCAAACCAAGCTGAGCCATGCATACCACAATTTTTCATCCGCGAGAGAGCAGAAGAGATCGAGTATAGGCGACAGTTCGTACTTGAAACATTAAGGAAATTGGGTTATGAGCCTCCAAAACCACAGCCTCTAGTTTTGACGGAACAGCAGGCTGTGATCATCATACAAAGCCACGAAAGAGCTAGACAAGGAAGGCTAAGGTAAAATTAATAACAAATGAATCAAATAAAAGAAACATATTTTTAAGAAACATGTACTTCAATCAACAATGTTATTCTATCTGGTAATTTTTAGAGGACAATTCATGAAAGAAATTCGACTGCTAAAAGAAAAAGGCAGAGATCAGAAAGGAGAGATGTCTGCATCGGCAGCCACTGCAATACAGAAGGTCTGGCGAGGTTTCTTAGCCAGAAGATTGACAAAGCGCAGAAAAATGGAAGAACAACTCTTGATTGGCATGGAACTGCCTCCTTACATGGAATCTGAAGCTCAGAGGAAAGCAGAAGAAGTATGTGCTTATACTGTTCTTAATATTTACAAGCTAACACAAGATTATGAATTTTATCAAATCACAGTATTGGTATTTAGAAATCTAGTTTGTTTGGCAGCTTATTAGAATCGGTAGCCCAAATGTGTAGGATGCGATTGTTGCAAAATCTTTCGTGAGTTCAGAAGAAAACAAAACAAAAACACTAAAATACATGTAAGAAATGGTCAAGCCTTAAAATAAAATGTCAAATCTAGATTTTTTACCATTGAAACTTTTGTCGTCTTCAGTATTTTTTGGATCAGCCTTGTTAGGTTCGGTTTATTTTGTCTCGAACGAATTTAACGAATGCTTTGAAACTTGACAGAACAACAGAATTCTGGTTTGAAGAACTAGTTCCCATAGGCATACTATGGCCTTACCAGCATTTTTATTAATAACTTACAGGTCAAAGATTACCGACGAAAATTGCAATCGGAAAGAGAGAAAGAGTATCAAACAGCTCTTATCTCAATCGAGGAGGACCTTCGTAAACAACACGAGAAAAAGTTGAATGAGCAAATCGGAGATGAACTCAGAAGGTGGATAAGGGAGTACTATGATAGAACTGGACGATTTCCCGAAATGCCTTCCGAAGAAAGTGGTGGAAGCAGGGCTATGTACAGTCGAACTGGTATATACAACTTGTATTATTGATATATATTAATGAAAATTAAAGATATATTGTAAGATGCGTTAACGATTAACTTGTTTCGAGGCATGTTAAAATGACAAAGTAACAAAAAATCTTGTATTTTTTCAGGAACTGGTATGGATAGTGAGTTAAGCAAGTCATCGCCTGTATCATCTAAAGAATCAAAAAGAAGTAAAGAAAGTAAAGACAAGAAAAATGGCAAAAGCGATGAAAATGGTAAAAACGGTAAAGAAGATGCTGATGATCTTGATACTTATATGTGTGCAAGTTCAGCCTTTTTGAAGGACATGGCTGGTGCTAATGAGGAGTAAGTAAAATTAACATAACATGCTTTGTTACATGTAGAAGCGGTAAAACATGAAGCGCGATGTTTTATTTATACCCGACGATACTTCATTAGCCTGTTACTGCCATTTGTACAGTATGTACAGAAAAATTTGATAAATTTAAAATAATAAAATAAAACCATGTGATCCTTAGGTATGAAGATATATGGAAATTCAAAGAAGATGCAGATAATCCTCATGAAAGGTACTACAAAGACATGATAGAACGAGAGAAGATGGTTAAGATTGAGCAAGAGATCAGGAACATTGTTGATGAATTGATGAGAAGTGAACTGGAGTTGCTACAAGCTGCATATGACAGAGACAGAGCACAAAAAGGGAAGAAATCTAAGAAGCAACAGAAAAAGGTAATATTTGATTTTGCTATTTATATCCTTATATTGATTATTATTAATAACTAATAATACATCTTTCATTCCTTAGACTCGTCGCGGAGGTAAGAAGAGTAAAAAGAAAAAAGAGAAAGATTTAACACCTGATCGAACAACGGAATCTTTGTTCGAAGAACTGGTATCTAACGGCATAATAAGGCCATACCCGCTTGTGAAGATCGATGACTATATTGGAGAAAAGTGCTTTGTTGGAGCTAGTTATAGAGAGAGCGGGGTAGAAGCAACACCGTGTTTGGGTGATGTAAGGCAGCTGGTGAAGGAATATTGTATTCTTCCACTAGGATCAGAATTGGTGCGGAATAATGCACCTTTAGTGAGATCGGTTCTTATAACAGGTAACATATGGTTATAATTAGTACTACTCGTAACAGATTTTTTTCAACTTTGCTGTGGCCAGATTGAGTATTCTATATTGTATATTCTACGTTGTTTTTGCATTCAGGGTTTGCGAAGAGTGGGAAAAAGATGTTAGTCCATTCAATTTGCAACGAAGTTGGTGCCATGCTCTTTGATTTAACACCAGCTAATATAGTTGGAAAATACCCTGGAAAGTCTGGGCTGATCATGTTAATACATTTGGTGATGAAAGTGTCTAGACTTTTACAACCTTCTGTAATTTGGATGGACGATGCTGAGAAACCGTTTGTGAAGAAAATTCCTAAAACTGACAAGACTGACCCGAAAAGGCTGAAGAAGGATTTGGTGAAAATTATCAAAGGTGCTATGTACTTATATTAAAATTAATTTTCTATTTTGTAAAATGTGGATTGTTTTCCTCTAAGAAACAACAGAAATTTTATCATTTCCCAAAGGAAAATCATCTCCCCTTTCCGCTGTCTCTCTCTTCTGATACATAAAGGGCTTTGCAGCTTCAATACATAAATACTATATATTTTCCATTAGCAATTATAATACAATTTAAATTTAATTTAATCTTTGTTTCTCATTTAAGGTATTTGTCCAGAAGATCGCGTCATATTCATAGGCACATCCAGAGCTCCTTGGGATGCAGAACAAAAACTATTATTTCAATGCTATCAGAAGATTATCCAAATACCAAGAGCTGACTATGGAAGCATTTCTATGATGTGGAGAAGCAAGCTGCATAGGGCTGGAGCTTTGAATCCTAGATTGGATATTTCTTGTTTATCTAGAATTTCTGATTCATATACTTTAGGTAGGTAATACCTTTTACACTTCATTTCTTTCGTATTCATTTCTTTTTCCTTCGCAAGATCAACATCATCAACATATATATAGTCCATTAAGTTTCGTTGCTAGATTGTGATTACTGATTATGTTGATAGATATTTCTGGGTGGTCTCTAATTGCTACACATGAGTTGAGTAAGTGTACTGATAAATTCATTCTACTTTTTTTTTAAGGAGTGATAATCATCGAATGAACTCCCGCCGCTCTTACTGAGTTAAAGTCACCCTGTTCCTTCTATTGCTCTTTATTCTAGCTGCAGTAAATTCTTGCGCTTGCACACGCAACCCCGAAAACTCATTCTACCCTGCCATCACCCAACATCTGTTATAGTTAATTAAGAAAACGCAATTTCCCTTGGTCATTGCATCACGCGTGAGCTTGGACTCAAGCCGATACTCTTTACGCTTTGCTAAAGAAATATAAAGACGAAAATTGGGAAGTTGCAAACTTATTGTTGTTTGACCGTTTGTTAATATAACAAAAACCCGGTAGCTGTTTAACAAAAAATGAGTTATATAATTTTTGGTTTAATTTTATGTCTGTCACCCCAGGGACTCTTCTAGAAGCTTTGGATGCAGTGCTGACCACGAAAAGGCGTTTGCAGTTGCGTGTGCGAGTACTAACTGCTGCCGAAATTGCTGTTCAGCTCAGCTCGAGGGAGCCAGTTTATGCTGAACATGTAAGTCGCTGTAATCACTATGTGTATTGTAAAGTAAATTATATCAGACGAAATTATACCCAAAGCCCAAGATTTTTTTTTTTATTATTATTTCATAGGTCGGCAAACGAGCAGACGGATTACCTGATGGTAAGCAATCAGCGCCGCCCATGGACACTCGCAACGGAGGAGTTACGAGTGCGTTGCCGACCTTTTAGGGATTAGGGATTTGGAGATTTAAGGACTTAGGAGGGATTGGGGGAGGGGAAGGATTGGGCCAAGATAACAAAAAATGCTTGCTTTACATTTTAAAACTTAGATTTGTAGTCTGCTGTTGGTCTCGTTGGAGTAAGTGCAGGGTTTTCGCCGTAAACGGTCATGTGTTCTCTGGCTGAGAATTTCAAAGCTGCATATTCAAATAATAAGTAACCAGACCCACGGAATCAAGAATTCATTTCCAATATTGGCTTTTAGGTATTATCCATTTTTAAAATAGTTCCATCGCACATTCTTAATTGTTATTATTATGAAGACATGCGTCTAAACCCCTCTATTTGGTCCCAAAAAGGATTTATTTATTGTACAAGGCGGCAAAAGAGCATAAATTATTACTTGATTGTAGGGCTTCGGCGCCAGGTTTATGTGGGTTGCTCTATGAGAGTGAATGAATTAAGGATTATGGAATTGGAATTCTGAAAAATTTAGAGAAAGGACTGGGCGTCCAGTAACCTTACTCACACGACGAAACACATGCTATCACTCCGTTTGAGTCAAACTATTCATTCATACCGAAACATAACCCTCTTAAATTTAATGCTAAGAAGTGAATGTTTTCAATATGAGCTCCATGTCAATATATCGAGAAGTCACATATAATATTAAAAGCATAATTTGATTTTTTACAGGAAGCAGCAGCAGATTCCTGGTGGTATAAGACTCCAATGGAAAAAAGAAGACAGAAGGTGCTGCAGAGACTGGAAGAAGCACAAGCTGAAGCTGAAAATGGTGGCTAAAGTACTAATATTATACTAAATTTTATTCTTGTAGTTATTTAAGAGAAAATTTCTGGTAGCATATCTAAGTAAACGGAATGAAAGAGGTTAGATTATGATTATTAAGGAATTAAAAATATTTTTTTTAAGGTTAAAGATAAAGTATACACTGAGAATATAATTATAGGTACATTAATCTGTCATATTATTATTTCTCAACTTTAACGTACAATAATTTTGATACTTCTAGTTTTAAGTAATTGAATGAACAAGTTATACGTAAGTATCAATAATTATGTGTTCAGTAAACATACATGGTGTAGTTTTTTTATAACAAATAGTAAAAACTTAATAATAAAAATTTAATATAAGTGATTGATAAATTTGACTTAATTGTTTTTTATTTATATAAAACCCATTTAAGAGAAAGAATTCAAAAGATCCAACTTGCTTGAGATAAAAAGTGCAAATTAATAAAAAAATAAGCACTTCGAACAATTTCCCAACTCTTAACAAGATACAAAATAATAAAACAACTTAGAGAGATGCTTCAAATCTCAAAAACTTAAACTCAAAAGAGCATTCCTGCGTCAAAGAGTGAAATATTCGGGAGTGAAAAAAGGGAGGAATTCACTCTTTTAAACTCGTAATACTTTGTTAGACATCTTCAAAGTAAAAAGGGGTACGCTAAGAGGATGTTCGGATGACACCTGGTTGGTTCACACGGACGTTTCAGAGAGCAGAACAAATTAAATATGGTAATACCGATTGAAAAATCGTGTATCCGAAACGGGCAAGTTTTAAGAATTTTTGCTTGAATTGATTTTCAATTTTTGCTACTTTTCGGCTGAGGGAATCACTTAAAATCGTTCTTTGCATAAATTGAAGAAATATAAGTGAAGTATGGTTAAAATATTTTAACACAAACGAAGAAGAATGTATGTATAACATCATGGCAATGATTCAGCAGTTTTAAATTTGAAACCTAAAAAAAACACATGAAAAGTCAGGAATTTCGAAGGCTCATGTGTACAAAAGTTATAATGTAAAATAATGTTAACTTATTCAGAGAAAAGGTGAAAGAAAGAGAGGAAAACATCTCCTTGTCTCATTATTGCAAATGATCAATTTAAAATCACCTCACTAGTTATAGCTTCATCATGTGAAAGGAAACCATTTCAATACAGGCATTTAATTTTGATTAATAAAGGCTGACAATGCTGATGACTCATTTTAAATCCCGTCTACCAATCAAAGCATCATCGAACAGCTAGTTCTTAATAAATCCACGTGTCAGGATTGCTAAAGAATTTACATACGGTTCACTAAAGCAAGACGGGGCCCAAACCAAATTACCAGAAAGCCTGCAGTGTTTGCCACGCATGAATATTCTATGTGCCCACCTACAGTTAACCCACGTTGTTTATCTGAACACTGGCTAGGCTAAACGGTTCGTGAATGTTCCACCGTTACTGTGGTTAGATTTGGTCCTGTTCCTATTTTTGTGTTATCCAAGATTATTATTTACCGACATTTATTTCAAATGGTGGTCCATTTGTAAATTTCAACCAAAAAAAAAAAAATTAAATGTTTACCTTAGTTGTGTGTCTGTCAGTTTGTCCTCTAGTGAAGCTATTTCGAGCGAGGAGAAAGAGCAAGAAACTCCATGGTTACTTTTTTACAACCAGTTAGACAAATATTATTTTTTTCAATTTTGAAATTTCTGTCCACCTAGAGCAAGCTTGGTAATTAATGTTCAAACCTTTCCTGTGTAACAAGGATCCATCACCAAAAAGGACGCTACATTTTATAAGGTAATAATTCCAATCATTCACACAGACACATTCGAGACTCTCATTTCAATAGCAACAAGCAATGTTCCCTCTACTTTTTCAATTGAGCTGGCTATCACTTATCCACTTATTTAGAAAATCAGCTTATAATCCACCGACATTAACAAAAGTACCTGTAGCTTCGTTATACCCGAATTGGCGTACCCCACAATGCACACGTTCATATCACTAGCCACATGAATTTTAGATTTGCGCATCCAGTCTGCCGCTCGTATGATTGTCCGTTAATTTGTGTCCAGAATAGTTTTCTAGTTATGCCCTATTTTAATGTTTTATTATGTCTTTTTTCTTAAGTGTTTGTGGGATTAATTGGTGTTAAGTTCGACAAGGTTCAATTGACAGAGCTTTCAAATAAGCAGCAGACGCAGCGTAAGCGGTCAACGCCACCCGGGTACACGTTAACACGCCTTGTCGACCTTTGGTGCATTGTCAAAGATTTCAGGGTAGGGGGAATGATTAGGTGTCTCACTCACGGCAAAACATAACGCAAGCGTTATTTTACGACGGTATTCTGTGGACCTGTGCTATCACTCTTGATGCTAGTTGCATTGGCCAGTCATTCATGCCGAAGCAGGTTTCCTACATAAGAGGTACATACTTTAAGAATTTCAATGTTATGTCCTGAACTTGAAATAAAAGCGGTCTCTCTTATTCATATAACCACTTTACCAGACCGGAGCGATACCACTACCTCACGTGTGTGTAAGGTAGTGGTGCGTACGTGTACCTACTTCTTTGTGTCCATGGGAGACGCCGATTGCTTATCACCAGGTAATGCGTACGCACTTTGGTTGTCCTATCACATGAAAAAGGTAGAGGATTACAATTTGGACAAAAATCTTATATAGTTCTATGGTAATACTTGTGACTTATCGTCATAATTATTGTCATCGTTTTACCAAAAGATATCCACTGTTAAAAAATATTTCTCCCCCAGTAATATATTGGTAAGTATCTAATGGGTCCTCCCGTTCGACCGATTAAGCGACCTGCATCTAGCGTCTACCAATGCTAAACTGGTGACTTATTGTTTTCAAAATATCTAAACCAAAAAAGAAATACACGAACAGAATCACTACCATCAAAGGCAAAAGAAAGGGGTTTAAATAGAAAAATTCAGCTACCAACAAAGGGTTCCATTCCACTAACAACTTGCTAACGCAGATTTTCACAGTTTTTCTTATAACATGGCACCTGTTTTTGCCCTTTGTGTGTCCGCCTTTGTGTCTGAAATAGAAAAACAGTGTTTCCTGCTTTTTATTAGAAATTATTTTCGCTAAGCAGTCCTTGTGGGTTTCGAGTAGTGGTTGCTGTTTCTATTTGCATTTTTGAAAAGGGTGTTGTTTGAATAAAATTGTGTTAGTTTAAATATAGAGAGAGTTTTTAGTTCTATAGAAGTCTAAGTATTGTTTATTAATAAAATTGTATTATATGAGTTTTATTATAAAATTCATTGTAACCAACCGCAAGCCCTAAGATGGCAATATTAAGATTCGGAGCATGTCGTGACACTTCAGTAACACACTGTTTCACTATTTTCTAATCTCCAGAAAGATTTATGTAGAGATTTTATATTATTAGGGATGAGCCTATTTCCATACACCGTAAAACTCCGGGCTCCGTACTATATAACTCAGAAATTGAATAGTAGGCACTAAGAACAGACTGCCCGACCCGGAAACTAAACCTGAAACTGTTTGAATTTCCGATTTAGCTTGACTAAAGAAGAAAGCCAAGTTTTGTCCTTCACAAAAGGAAATCAAAGAGACCAATTCTCTTGGGTTATAATACTAATCAAAGTTTCGACAACAATTCGGAGACCACTTAGAATTTCATTGTTGGCCAATCAAAACAATTGGCATTTGATTTCACAATTAAGTTTACTAAAGCAATTTCTAGCAATTAATTTGTCTAAAGTGAGTGTTGAATGATTTTATGATTCGGTTTGGGGATAAACAGTTCTTGGTTATTATTGGTGATTCGATTTGATTTTCGGTATCAAAAATAATCAATAATTTTACATCAAAAATCGGTAAACTGTATAACAGTTTGTTGGCGATAGTAGCGCTCTTATGCTATACAGTATTGTTATTTATGACTACTAATTATAATTACGTACATAATACGTACCTATCTTTAATTTTTTTACATATCTCAAAAAAAATTAATAATAAAAATAAAATTATAAAGAAATAATAAATGTAAATTTAATACTCATGTGTTTAGCATATTTTAAAATTCCATTTTCAGTTCTTTTCTTAAGGATAATGTGCTTAGGGTATCATTCTTATTTCTTATGAACGTTATTTTATTATATCTCGCGCGGCTCCATTTAAAACGTTGCGTGATGTTTTATAGCCTATAGCACTCAGGAACTTTATAGCTATCTATCAGTGAAAGAATTTTGGAAATCCGACCAGCGGTTTCAAAGATTACCCCCTACATACCTACAAATTTACAAACATTCAAACTTACAAATTTTACCTCTTTATAATATGAGTATAGACTAAACAGTTACTTTTTTACTTATGGGCTATTTGAGGGGTAAAATCAGCAAATGAAAGATGAATGGATGGGAGTGTCAGACTCTTACTGACTAAAAACCACCTCGTTCCTTCTCTTGCTCCGATCCGGGGTACATTATTGCTTTTGAACCCGCAACCCCACCTCCCTTCCTTTACAAGGATTAAAGGGAATTGAATATTATTAAAGTCGTTATTATTCAGTTAACCGCCCGATCAGACCCTGTTCCGAATCCTCCGGCGAAACACAACGCTGTAGTTGTGTCACGCCGGTCTTCTGTGAGGCCGTGGTATCACTCCGGTCGAGCCGACTCATTCGTGCCGAAGCATGGCTCTCCCACACGAATATAAAAATATTTTCAACATAAAATTACGAATGTAACACCTATTTTCTTACATCTACGCCAAAAATACAAAGCCTACCCTTTTAATACGCAGAAATTATACCTACTTCACAGTAAGCATTTAATAATATTAAAGTATATCGTCGAAAGCCACAATAAAATGTTACAAAAAATACAATATTATTTCCAAAAAATGGCGACTGGACTCAGTAGCAAAATATACGGACACAAACACATCAAGCTACACGAATTCAGGAAACTACAATCGAAATTCAGTTTTATTCAGTAACTGTAAGGGTGAA